TCTAATCCAGTAGAATGATCCATATACAAATATATATATATATATATATATATAAATGTTCCTGTATCATACATTTTCCTTATATGTTATTGTTTCCCCTTGATGTCTACTTAAGATGTTTGTTTGGTTTCTTCGCCAATGTGATGCTGACGTGGTGCTAGTGTGTTAGTGTGTGTTGTGCTGGTATGAGTGGATCAGACACAGCAGTGCTGCTAGAGTATTTAAACACCACATCCACTCACTGTCCACTCCAACTACTACCTTGTTGCTCCACCTTGCAGATGTAAAGACAGAGACAGTATCTGTTGACTGCACAGTTTGTGTTGGTCATCCTCTAGTCCTTCATCAGTGGTCACAGAATGCTGGTGGCTGGATGTTTTTGGTTGGCGTGCTATTCTCACTCAAGCAGTGACACTGAGGTGTTCAAAACTCCAGCAGCTCTGGTGTGTCTGATCGACTCATACCAGCACAACAAACACCACACACCACCACTACAGTCTCACTGCAGTGCTGAGAATGATCCACAGGACCACCACAGAGCAAATGATATGTGCTCTGTGGTGGTCCTTTGGGGATTCTGACCATTGAAGAACAGGGTGAGAGGGGGCTGACAAAGTATGAAGAAACAGTGCGGTAAGTAGAGCTGAGAAAAGGACAATGAGTGTAGATACAAGGAGGTATAATTAATGAAGTGTTGGGCCAGTTTAGCTTCGGTGCAACAGGACAGGGCTGCTGGAGGCTGTTTTGGCAGTTTAGTGTCTATATATGAATTGCATGTTTTTAAAATTTTAGCACTGTTTGTATGTTACAGCAAACTCTTTATTTGCAAAATTCAGTTTTCCATAATATGGACCTTTAAGTTTATTAACTTTAATGCAATAAAACTAATTTTAGACTGTTTCTACTGGCCATTTATCATGAAATGTTCACCTGTCAGGAGTTCTTATGGTCTATTCTGATTTCTTTACAGCTAAATTGGTGGCTACATTTTTGGGTTAGTTTAAGAAGTAACAGGCAGTTAAGACAATAACATAATTTATGTACTGTTTTACTGAAGCTCACAGTTTGCAAGCTAATTGAATAAATGAAACACATAATGCCAGATGTATGTATGAGCACAGGAGCAGTGCAAAATATATGTTGATGCGACAGCAATATGTGTTCACAATGGCTCTGAATTTAACGTTTGATTTACAATCTGCAGCTTATCATGTAAACTGCACATAGCCTAACCTGCTAATTGCTCGCCTGTGAGGCTGCATGGTTCAAATTCACTTTGACATAAAGGAGCTCTTAAAAAGCTTAAGACGAAAAAAAAAAAGTTGTGTCTTCATTGATAAAGTTTTTTTCCCACCAAATCATTCTACGGGCCTGTTATTTTACTTCTTACTGGGTAAGAAAATAGAGTGTATGAAACATGGATTGCATGGCCATATTGTGGTGACAGTTTTTGTCACCACCACCTATTCTCACATACATACATCTTGTCCTGAGAGAACAGTGTTATTCTGATGAGATTTGTGCCTTTGTCTAACCGCTGTGTCTGATGCCATTGTTAAAGGACGTCTCTCAACATGTCTTTTGAGACTGCCAATTTATGCCTTGTTTTAAAAGGCAAAGGGAAGTCAACGTAAAACTGTCCACCACAAACTGCTCAAATTGTAGAAAATCGAGCAGAATGTGTAATCAGCTGCACATGTTCCACCCTCAGCCCTCTCTCAAATACATAAGCCCAAGGAAGAGAAGCTCATGTTGCGTTTTTTCACGCAACCCATAAACTATGTGATAAGGCTCATATGCCAGTTTTGTGAGCAGAAAGCATCTGATCCACCACACATTTCATAGACAACATCCCCTAATAACACGATTCTTATAGTCTTTAGCATTAATAGCCAAATGTATCATGAGCACAAACACTTCTCTAATAAAGATATGTTTCTGAGTGTACAATATAGAACAGGAGATAGTCTATTATAAATTGCATGTGTATGAAGTAAATGGCCTAAAACCTTAGTAGTTGAAAGCATGTGATTTTGCTCAGCAACCAGCCTAGCAGATTGCTAACTGGCTAACAGGTTTCTCCACTAGTATTTAGATATAGCACAGATGTAATATAATAAAATACTTCATGTTACATGGTTTTCATAAGAGGGAGGGGTTCTCTGCATGTATGACAGTGGTGCGCTTGCGTTGTGCAAATCAGGCAGAGGATGCAGATCGGGTAGAGACAGGGTCAGCTTTGTGCCAAGGCTTGCTGCACAGGCTGCTGTTGTTGCTCAGGGGTGGGGTGACATGGAAAATGCAAGGCAGCATGCACTTTTCGCCCCATTGACTTGTGCTATTCTGGCTTACCTTATATATGATCTTTGGATATAAGTTGAAATGAATACTTAAGGATTACTTAAGGATTCATTGTAAAACTGTAACATACAATTGAATACCTCTGTACTGATTTGACTCTTCTCCACATCTCTGTAGTGGCTATGGCTTTTATACCACTAAACTCTCAAATGTGCATTTGTCTTTGTAAAGAGGGGTTTATGTACTGCAGCCCTACTATAATATCCCTCTCTGTGTAGTTGTGGATGGACTAATCGCTGATACAGTCTAATCAATTCTCAGTCAGTTGCTCTGCTGTTTTTCTTCATTGTACAAATGTGCGAGCAGCACGGTCACTGAATGTATGCTTTTGGCAACAATTTACTGATGTCTTTCCTATAGGTCTAAATACAGCTGTACCTTTAGTCTCTGTTCCTACTGAAACACTAGTCAGCTGAGCAGTCTTTGTGACTGAAGCTCCTGTTCCTGCTGTGTGCCATTAATGAAACCTCTTTCAAAGAGGGTCGAAAATCGAGCTCAACTGGTCCTAATCAGCTATTTCATACATGCCTTAGAGCATAGGATGTTAATTTCTCAGTAGTATCATGCAGTAGACCTATCTGAAAGCATCTGCACTCATTTTGTTTCTCCGCTCATTTATTCAAGTTTTTTCTTTAATTTGTCCCTCTTCTGTATGTATTGTGTACACAGTAGAGCACATATAACTGCACATTCATAAACTGTGAACAGGAGATGCTTATCTTTACTCATTCTGCTTAATTACAACCCCTTTTTTCAGGAGGATTAGGAATCTATTAAATATAAAAACTACAGTCTGTTGCCTTGGAGACGTTGTCAATTATTAATTATCATATATAATTCATCACTTATTTACCTAAAGCTTGGCCTTTGATAACCTAGTCTCTTGTGCTCCATTTGCATACAGTCTGAATATGCAAATGAGCACCTCAGAAAGATTTGCATAGTCTAAGCATAATCAGCATTGCTGGATGTATTTTACCATACGCCTACTCAATGAGCATCTTTCTCTTTCTAAGACACACACACACTCTACCCAGAGGAGGTATTGTGAGACATAGGCTCTATATGAGCAGAATGTATAATTTATCTGGTAGGTCAGCAGAATCAGCATGCACACACTGACACACACACATGCACAAGCAGTGTCTAAGCGTGCTGTCAGATTTGATCCAACATATAGATCCACCCCCCCCCGTTTAGTGCTCTACAGTCAGGGGTGTATTTCACAAGGCAACATTTCTCAGTTAAATTAAATGTGCCATAACTTTTGCACAGGCCACATTTTATGTTTTATTTTTTGCACAATGTCATTAAGATAGCTCTGGCATTAACACAGTAAAGAGTACAAAACACCACTGATTACTGACAGCTATGTTACTACTGTTGTGCAATAGTTGATAGACAGTCATGTTTTATCATTACAAAAGGGAATAAAGTTGACATATCATGGTTGACCATTACGTTCTGGGAGTTGTAAAGGCTGTTACGTCAGCTTTTCTTGTTTTACCCATAGAATCCCTCTGTGTCAGGCACTAAAAGCGGTTTTCTTTTTCAGCCAGCCAGTTTACAGAATGCTCACTGTCTTTGCATTAATGCAATGATTTAACATTAGATATTTAGTACCATTAGATACTATAGTACCATTACCAGTGTGGCTCATCTAGTTTGCCCTAGGACACTGCTAGATTACAGCGCTAGCGTCTACAGACCGGAAAGGTGGTACAACTTCATTCAACAACTAACGTTAGGTTTATGTTATTAAATGTCCAAAGCTGCACAGTGTACCTATTCTGCCATGTTGAAAGCTGTTCATGCCTCATAGGGTGACTGTTCAGAAGACGTGTCACTCCAAAGTGGTAGACCAATAGACAGTGCAGGTGAACATCCTCTTATGAAGTCCATGCTCTATGAAAATGTGCCAAAAATCAGAAGCAAAAGAAAGATTTCAGAAGTAAAAAGCGATTTCAGAGGCAAAAAATGTATCAGCAAAATCAGCAAATGGAAAAAAAAATGAAAGCAAAGCCTGGCAAAGTGAGTAACAGATTACCTGCCACTTAAAACTTCAGCACCTCTAACTAAAACACCTTCCATGTTATCTTTAAAACTGAAAGAACATATGTAGAAGAAGCCATCTTTTCTATGTAATTCAGTTCATTTTATAGCCTGTAGCTCCACTGCAAGACTAAAGAAATGAATTTCAGACACCAGCCATGTCTCTACTGACTGATAACATTTGGGGAAAGAGGTGAAACTGGGTATATTTGATTTTCACTAAACTTCGCTTATCACTTTAAGTTGCAGCTTTACTGAGAAATCTTGCTTTGTGTAAAATCCTGGAAGCAGACGTTTTCTGTGCTGAATTACACTGCATCACGTTCACACACTGATGCGTCTCTGTGTTTGGCATTGATTTATTTCCATAATGCTCAAATGGCCTTCAAATGCGTGCACACACGCACACAGAGGAAAACGAAGGCAGAAATAAATAATTTTCTAATTGATTGAGGTTGATGTATGCTTAAGGACAGTCCAGGCTGGATATGATCCTGTGCTATTAAACTGCCTGTACAGCTTGTCATTATTGATAAGGGCCTGTGTTTGACCCCTCGCTGACCCTCTCTATGCTTCATTTCCCCCAGTAGAACCGCCTCTTTCACTCTCTGCAAGTGACCTGAACTAACCATCACAGCCTTTACACAGCTTCTCTCACTGTGGGACTTCAGCTGCTGTCCATTTCGAGTAGGTAACGTTGATCTCTTAAACACATTAAATGTATTGTTGTCTTTGAATTGTGGCATTAGATAAGGATATTTATCAATACTAGACTATTTATCACAAACAGATATTTTTTAATTTTTCATTTTTTTAGGGTGTAACTATGATCTTCTAATTGTGGCACAGTGCCTTTTATATTAATTTTCTATTTACTTACTTTCCTAATTATTTACTTATTTATTTGAGATTGCTTTGTAGCTTTATTACCATTACAAATATTTAAATAATAGCACAGTGTTAATATGTTTGTTTGTTTTGTGTCTGTATAGTAACTTAATGTATAATACAAACATATAATTTTGTAAATTCTTTTTAATTCTATTGAGAAACCTGTACCAGCCTCCAGATATTCATTTATTCATTCATTCTTGATTGGATAATAGGTTGATTACCATTATTTTTTAATTCTTTTAATTCTTTTGAGGGTGTGTAAACTGATGCTAGTTGCTTGATTAACATAAATTTTATTTGTCTTGAAGATTTTGAAAATTAGTTTCAGTGTCTGCTTCTGACATCTGCAAGGTTTTTATACATTTTTGCAACTGTTAACAGGTAACTCACATCAATCCCTTTGTTTGTGTGTGTGTGTGTTTGTGTGTTAGCTGTTGATGTGTGTGTGCATGTGTGTAGGGTTGTGAGGATATGAGAGGGGGAGTGAATATTCAGGCCCAAACACCATGCTGCTTCTGACATGCAGGGATGAGTGTGTGGCTGGCAGTCAACAAGGTAAGACCTCATTTTCTCTCTGTTTTTCTACTGTGTGCTAAAGCGATAGTTTACACCCCCTTAGCCCACATAGCTAAAAACAGTGTTTATAGCCATAATAGCCAATTTCCGTAGTTTTGTCCACTTTTATAGATAACATTTATAGATATAGTATGTCATAGAGTGTCAGAAAACACATTAAGCAGGTTTATTTGAGAGGGCAATTAAGGGTTAATTCCATCAATATTTTCAAAATTTCTGGTAATTCAGTGGTTAAGATGTAAACGAGGTCGTTCAGAGTGGTTTGATGTGAAATGGTGCATTGTAGAAAAACATAGCAAGTCAGAATTGTTCACTGAGCGGTAGTGATAGGAGCCATACGAAGAGTTTAACCCTGTCAAATTGAGCATCTTGCCGGAAATCCATTCAGAGACTTTGGCCTCATCCACAGGCATTCGGATATTTTCAAAACTGTTGTTTTTTCCACTTTTTTTTTTTAAATCTCTGACCACACCAGTTGCATTTTCAAAAATCTCTACATCCACACAAATACAAAAATGACTCACATGAGCTTGCCAACCCAGTAGGGTTATGATAATACCCCATAAAATTTGATGTCATACTCCTCAAGAAGTTGTATTGTATTTTGTGCATTATAAGTGCACTGCACAAAATGTAGAGTGTGCCGTAAAGCTGTAGCAGAGATTTTCTAACAGTGTGATGGCAGCATATTACAAATACTGTAGATTTTGTTCTGCAGGTGGTCAGATCTTCATAATTTAATATTTCACACAGATTCACAGTTTTTGCTGGAAAATAAAAGCTTACAATGTGAAAGGAAACCCTGCTGCCATAGGGTTGCTTACAGTATAATGGCTACCACCATCTCTGAAACATCTACATCTACATCAGCAGGGCAGCTGAGATTTTCTAGCTTTCCCCCCCTTTTAAATTATAGAGTTGAGATTTATTTCGAATCTGACTTTGGTTAATGATCGTTAAGTCATATCTTTAGAAGCACTGAGGTGTTTTTAATGTTTGCAGTTAAGGTGATGCTCCATTTACAAGGACTGAGCACAGTACATGATGCCTCTGCGCTATAAAAGAGAGAGCCAAATTCAATTATAAACATGATTATAACTCCCAAATCACCCTCAAATTGCTGAACACAGAAATGACTGTCATCAGTCATATTGCACATGTATCATATTGTACACGTTCTACATACTTAATAAATAAAAACAACTAAGCGTTTTCAGTGAACAAAAATGGAAACATTTTTATGTAGGTGGGAGGAAAAAACAAAGTTTCCAAAAATATATGAATACGTGTGGACAGAGCCTTTGACAGTGGACACTTAAACTTGCCACCAGATGAGTTACAGTGGGTGCATGTCTTTGTCAGCCAGAGTGTATGAAAGATGCTCAAAGCATCCTTTATTGTTGGATGTACTGTGATTTTTTTGGGTAAGCATTCAGACTCATTCAGAGCTCAGTTTGGATCAATAAGTGCTTATTATTGTTTTGTTTAACCAGAGTAATGATAAAGCACAACTGCTGTGTGACTTATTCATGTGTTTTTTGTGTTTAAAAACACTGTTTGTGACACAGACTAAAAAAAAATCAATTTATTTTTGGCTTTGTCAGATTTTGTTCCTTGCATATCAAATAAATGCAACAGCATGGGGGAATCATTTGATGATTGACAGAGAAGAACAAACTAAATGGCAGAAATAGCCACTTTTTGCATTGACCTGAAAGGGTTAATGCCTCTAAAATCGACCTCACCGAAAATTATGACACATATAGTTATGGTGGAGAGGTACATGCAGGGTAAGGCAAAATGAACCTTTTTCAGATTCACCAACAGTGTCAGAATTACATTTTTAAAAATCTGGTGGTTTTGAACAGTAAAAACTGGCTACATTTGCACTGTAGCCATCACCAGATAGAAATCTGACTCAGATTCAAAATACTCTGTACAACTGTATAATCTCATTGAATGAGTTGTGCAGAAATGTAGATAAAAGAGTGGAATTACACCTTCAACACCTCAACACATTTGAAGGGAAATGTGTGATTTAGACACACAGCTGCCACAGTGCTAATCAGTGAGGTAAAGCTTCCATTATTTGTTGACTACATTAGCCTTGTAGCTCCTATACAAAAGTGTCTTAACTGACAAACTACATTTGAGGAAAGGGAGTACATTGTGTACACTTACATTTTTCACCAAAGTATCACTTTAACCCAGAGAACAAGAGCATACATCTCTCTGTGTGTGTGTGTGTGTGTGTAGTTTGTGCTGAAGCTCAAGTTACCTCACACTGCCTGAACATTTGTTTCATAACTGCAGCAGATTATGCCACATTTCTACTGCATCTCTACCTTCAGCTATGCATTGTAAAGCTGGTATTGATCTTGTGCGTGTGTGTTTGAGACACACACACAGTGTGTGTATGAAAGAGAACGGGGTGTATAGTTGTGGCTTTAGAGACGAGTTGCTTTCAGATTCTTTTTATGTGTGCATGTCAGATGTGAGTATGCGCTTGATAGCCTGCTGTGATTGATTATTGGATTTGTTTGCATCGCTTTGCAAATATTGATCAAGCAATTAAAGGATTTGTTGAATGGGACTCTTTTGGCCTCGAGGTGTGTCCACTTCCGAGTATGCATGTGTGTGCATTTGCAGGTGTTAGTGAGTAAATATATGTTATTTATCTATAAAGATAATAAACTTTGACCTTACATATTATGAAGCTTCAGTAGATCTTGATGATGTAGAGAGGGAATATGGCCTAAACATTACAGCACTATATATTCTGAACAGTCACTAAGTGCAACATATTTTTCAGTGTCAGAAAAAAAGCAGAAAACATATATGTGATAGAAAATTACACGGAAGCATCAAAAACGAAATCTAAAAACATATTTTCAGTGTTTACTAAGTCTACCCTTTAATTTATTACACCTTCCATTCTTTTCACGAAACTTTTTTTTTACTTTTTTCACAGACATCTGCAGAGATATTTATCCAATCCTTCAAAGTTTCTCCAAAGTCTAGAAATTAGTTCAATTTCTGTTTCTCAAGAACAGAAATCCCAAACACTTTCAGTGACGCTAAGGTCTGGAGTCTGGGACGGACAATAGAGAACACCTTCAGTTGCAAATTTTCTTTTTATTACTATTTTTAAAAAATATTTTTACTTCTTTTCTTTTCTTTTCTTTTCTCAGTAATGGCTTCTTGTCAGCTACACATCCTTTCAGACTCATAGCGTTGTCTTCTCATAGTGGAAGGATGGACAGAAACATCTGTGGATTTTTCAAATCTGAAGTAAGAGTGGACCTTGACAGACCTTAAGTGGACCTTGGTGGTCTACCAAGTCTTGCACGGTTGCTAGGAGTCCCATTTTCTCTGTATCTTTTGATCATTTTTTTGAACTCCAGTTCAGACTGAATTAGCTCCCCAGTCTTTGACAGTTAACCCTACATATGGAATTAGTTGTATAATTTCTACATCATTCAGTTGAATTGTTCATAGTTGGTAAGTTCTGACAACAAAATGTATGTTTTCATTTATAGCAGAGACTAAAAAAGAATTAATTTTACTTATATACTTTTTAAAAATTATTCAACAAAAGACTAAAATGTGTCAGGTTATACCCTGCTCTGCCCTAGTTTTTGTTTAGACCTTGAAATTAAGAATTTGTTCAACCACAATCATTAGATGTTTCATCCTAATTACTGTGTGTACCTCATTAAAACTTAATTAGTGGAATATGTGTCCTCATTAATTAATCAGCTGTGTTACAATACTGTACAAGTCAGGGACTACCCTTCATTAATTAAGTTTCCAGTCAAAATGTTATTTATTTTTGAGGAGATATTAGTGAAGAGATGCATAAGGAAGGAGTTTTTCAACCTCAGAAAATCACAACAACTCAACAAAAAAGACAACTCAAAAATAGAGAACTCAACACTATGAGTCTGAAAGGATGAGTAGCTATCAAGGAGTTGTTACCGAGAAAAGAAAATAAGAAAAAAAAAATTGAAATTTTGCAAATCAAACAAAGAAGCTGCTGGTGTTCTTCGAACACTGGACTGACCACCCCTCAATGTACATTGTATGTGTTCAGGATTATTAGCAGAAAATGCAACCAACTTGTTAGACTCCTTTGCAGGTGTGAAAAAATATCCCTGCAGGCTTTACATTGAAAAAAAATGAAAGCAAGTCTCCAGAAAGGAGCGAAATCTGTAAAAAAGGCAAAGACTTTAAAGGCAAAAACACTAAATACTAAAAAAACTAGTATTATATTTAGTTGTTGAGGCTTCTGTGTAATTTTCTGTTAAATATGTTTTCTCTTGTTTATTGATGCTGAAAAATAAAGAACTTGTACTTTATGACCATTTTTACCAGATATGAAATAAAACAAGGGTGGTCTCTGGCTTTGCACAGTACTGTACGAGGAACCGTGTGTCTTTGGTGTGAGGTTAATGTTTTTAATGATAATAATTCTATAATAGATGTGTGATTTTGAATTCACTGCTAGTAAAAATGAGGAGTATGTCCAAATGTTTGACTACACTTTACCTGCTATTTCTAAAAATAATTCTAAACTTTCCTCAGCTGTTGAGGATTTGATTTCTGCAGAATGGACAGAAATTGACAAATCAACTGTTTTAACTGACACCATACTACTTGCATTAAAGCCTGAGACATTTTGGTAAATATCATTTTGTAATACTTCTTGCTTGATGTTTTTTTCCCAAACAAGTTTTGCTTATTCATGGCATTTCAAGTTTTACTGGATGCAGAGTATTGCATAAGCATAGGAACTGTCTAAATAGAATTACATTACCTACCTAAACAAAACAATTTTATCAGTTACAGGAACAATCCATGAAACATGTTTTACAGTTTTGCATGTTCAAAGAGAAGAGAAATCCACTGCATTATTATAATATTACACAGACATAAAAGAACAGCAGTGGAGAACAGCCTGGAAGGCCAAGGCCTGCCAT